TGATGTTGTATTGCTTAAGCTCCATGTTATAGTGAGCTGCTATAGCCATCATTATGCGGAAGGACCTGCTGGCTAAGGTTGCTGCGTAAGTGTCTTGTAAGGTGATATTTTATTGCTAGTCACCTTAAACTACAAGCCTTGCCTTGCACTTTAGCAGGTAATAGTGCTTATCTAGCTTGTAGGTGTACACCCACATATAGTTAAGTATCTAGTGTCTAGTCTGCTTAACTTGTTAAATTAGCACCTCTAACTATAACTTTGTCTCTTAATAACTTGCAAGGTGTGCTTACTCAGCCTCTTAAAATAGTCTACCTATAGGGTGATCCTTAAGCTTAGTTTAGGAAGTAGGTAGAGGCAGAAGTTAGCTTTAATAGGGCTTTAATCCTTTGGCGAGCATTCTCCTTATCTTAGCCTTGTCTATAACTTCTCCTCTATATATTCTAACACGTCTAGCTTAGGTTCCTGCAAGGAATAATGCTGCCTAGGGGACAGTAGTTAAAGACACTTGTTAGGATAGGCTTATTTAGTTACTAGCCATGATGCCTGCAAGTAGCGCTGCTAGTGGCAGTGTTAATAGAGGGGTAGGATAGCTATCCTGTATCTTCTGTCTATAAAAGTAGCCTAGCTAGTCTGCTTTGTCTTGTTATGATGGCTCTGCTAGTGCTTTGTCCTTATAAAAGGAGTCTATTTCTAGTTATTAGGTAGGCCCTAGTAGCTTAATAGATTGCATTTATATTACTATTTCTTTAAGTGTGTTGTGTATAAGATTCTCTATAACGTCCTTAATCCTCCTATTAAATTCTATATCTTTGTTAAATATAATGTCTTAAGTGTTTATTACCCTACTAAGTAATAGTATTTAGATTTAATAGATGTTTAATAACTAACAGCCTACTAAATAGCTAATTTAGGCCTTTAGATCTAGTCTTTAGAGACGTGACTTGCCTAGTCCTTAAATTCCTAGTTAAGGTAGCTCTTATGGCTGTCTAAGATAAGCAGCCTGTACATCCCCCTCTAACGCGCTCTTATATGTGTGTTAAAATGCTTTAACTACTTAAGACTAAGCACATTATTAGTCTATCTATTCTTAGAGACTAAGAGCTTCTAGCTGTACAGGATATTAGTCTCCTTATACTAGACAGAGATATAGACACGCCCTTTGTAGATAATAAAAGGTAGGGTTATATACCTAGCAGCGCAGATGCTCTAGATAACTATAACCTACTCCTAATTACCTAGCTAAATAAGGTTTAGCCTTGTACGACTCTCTAAGCCTATAATAACCTTTATTAAGCTAATTACTCCTATCTAAAAGCTAGTCTTAGTAAAGTTGTAGATATCCTTATCTAGGACCCTATACTTGTCTTTTATCTCCTGTACAAGCTTAAACCACATGCTAATTACCTCTAGATCTTCCTAGAGTATTCTCTAACAGTCCTTTACTTAATTAAAAGCTATCTTAAGCTCCTTTATACGCAACACAAATTGCTTAGCCTAGTTCTTACTAATAGGTGTCCTACTACGTAAAGCTAATAGTTTGTCTGCAATATCTGCCACCTTACACAGCTAGGGGGCAAATCTGCGCGAATTAAGGTTAAGGATATATTATACAATTGTCTGCTCTTCTATTGCAGAGAGCTTCTTGCTGTTAGGTAGTGCTTCTTATTTAAACATAATTTTATTTAGCTAATTAGAGAGCCTCTAGAAAGGTACTATAAAGGTAGCAGCAGCGCTCTGTACGCTCTTAAATTGTCCTAATGTATAGGCCTAAAGCGCAAGAATAATTCTACCTTCTTACTAAGTTAATATCTGCTTGTGTTATTATTATATATTGTGTTGTATAAAAAAGTTGCAGTGCCAAGAAAAAGTGTCTAGCTTAGTGGTGTGTCTAGCTTAGTGGTGCTTTACGTTAGTAATTCTTTAAGAATAGGATAAATGTTCACAGCACCTAAATTATTAACTTTACTGTGCAATAATCTATAAAGTAGAGATCCTACTGTAGGCCTAAGAACCTGTTAGTGATAAGCATCTAGCTCTTTTCTCTAGTAACTCCTTAGGCTTTATAGGAGTAGAAATTAATGCTAAGTCTCTCTCTAGGTCTGACTTTGTAGATTCTTAGTGCATAGCTAATTTGTTGTTGTGATTTAGCCCTTCCATAAGTGTTGTATTTAACTATAGTAATGCCTTAGATGCGCACCCCCTTAGTTTGCTAAACAATATGCTCAACAGCTGCAGGACTAAGGTGACTAAGTTGCTTATGCCACAGCATTGCTAAGGCTTTTTAAGGTCCTCTCTTTGTTTGTAAGGTAATCTTATGTGTGTGGAATAAAGCAGGTAGTAGTAGGTAGGCTGGCGGATAGGTAGGGTATGCTTTTTTACGTTTTAGCTTATAGCTTCTTAACTAGCAGAGATACGCTTACATAATCTATTATTCAATAGAAGCGCCTAGTATTGCGCCTTCTAATAAAAAAAGAATTAGCTAATTC